CGGGGTCATCCTGCTTGGGCTTTGGAAATCTGCTTATCTGTGAATTTCACTCATAGAGACCAAGGCTCAGCTGTGCTCCTGTGGTTTGTGCTCCGTGTATGTAAAACCCTCGCTTCTACGTCAGCACACAAAATACCACATACTTCTATCTGTGGTATTATCTGTGGCCATGGCTTGGTTTTGTGTCGATTTGACATTATGTTAGAAATGCTTTGTAGCTCTGCATCAAGTCGGCATTCAGGACCACAGCTCAGCTTCAGCTCAGCCAGGACATGGAAGATCCATTTCATCCTTTGGTGATGAGGTTAATTGTGGCCAACTGACATTTCTTAGCATCTCTAAAGCCGCTGTGTTTCAAGCCCTCACAGCTGTCTGTGAATTTGGTAGAAGAGAAAGCAAGTGGAGGTTGCTACTACTAGCAGAGCCTTGGGAAAGGGAGCCGGTGAAGGTACAGTGTGATGACACTGTGGTTGCAACAAAAAAAAGAGGTTCCTTAGTGTTGTGCTGCTTGTTGTCAAGCTGGTAATAAAATAGCTATTGAAAGAACATAAGAGCAGTTAACCCTCCTTGAAGGAGGACGGTATTTTCTCCTGTGACCTAAACACGGGAAAAGATGGTCCTTACAGATTATTTGATGGGAAACTGGGTGGAAGTGCATACTTAGTATTTTTTAATTTGTATATTAAGAATTGTCTGTATATATTAAATACCTAGTATTTTGGAATGGCATTTGCAGAAACTCCAGTGTGTAACTTTATTTCTGCCTGTCAATCTGGAAATGACAGTTTCTTTACCTCCAAACAGAAGTTCAGTGATGTTCAAAACATTTGGATTTCTGGTTAGTTGTTACCTCCTTCCTGATTTCCAGCAGTGTATGCTGGCAGAGAACAAGCTCTCTCAGGAGATGTCAGAAACATCAGTACTTCTTGGAAGCGGGGCCTTTGGGAGTAAAGCTCTGCCCCCTTAGCACACAGTGCTGCAGTGTTCAAATCCACTGTTTCTGTGTGTCCTCAAAGCTTGATGAATCAAGATGCTGGGAATAGCTTTGCAAGCTGAGGATGTCGGTAACCCCTCAGGAAGTTGATAACTTCTGTAACTTGGCTCTTTCTCTTCCTAGCCTGGCGTGAACATTTGTTTTAAGATGTCTCATAAGCCAGAGATACTTCCAGGAACATGTGTTTCAGAGAGGGAGCTGATGAAAATTTGTGCATATTTCTTTGTATTTCAAATATAACCCAGAGTCATTGTGAGTCTAGGCTAATGCTACTGGGAAGAAGGTCGATTGTTACAATATATACACTTAGTGTCCCACAAAGTTACAAATATTCCTTTAAATTTTTGGGAAGCTTCAGTGCATCCACTGCATGCCACACACCTTTGGAACTTGGAAGGGGGAAATCTGTGCGTCAGGGTTTTGTTGTGTCTCTTGAAATCTGCCCAGCTTTAATTGGGGCTGAAACACTGGAAAACCCTTCTCTGTGGTTTAGTTCACGTGCCTCAGAAAGCATCAGTGTGCCAAAATAATATCCAAACAACGACACTCTAGCCTTGGGGCTGGGCCCCACAGCAGCATGCAAGCACGGCTGAGGGTTAAACGCGAGCAGCCCATTTGGGAAGCGTGAGCTGGAAGGAGAGCTGGGTCAGGCTGTTCCCTGCTCCCAAACCCAGTACGGAACCGTCACGACACAGCCGCTCTCTGGAGCGCTAATAAACATCTAACACGGGCAGTTAATCCTGTCTGTTTGCACTTACAAAGTGTAGCCATGCTCTGGACATGCGTGCTGGCAGCAGTTGGCACCCAGCTCTTTTCACCCCTCGTATGTCAGTGGCTTATTTGTCAAAAGTGCTAAAGGGGCTGCTCTGCCTTGGTTCTGTTTTGCTGTGGGTGTACCAGTGCTGCAGACTGGGGTGTAAGCTTTGCTGCTGTTTGGTGAGATAAAGGGTTGTGCAGAATCAGACTCTACCTCTTCTCCTGTTAGCCCCAGTTCAGAGCACACATACGGAGGCAATTGAAGAAACCCCTTATGGAGCGTGTGAAAGCTGAGGGTGCTGGAAGCTTAGGCACAGGTTGCTGTAGTGGAAAGCTGCATTGTCTGTCCCAAGCTTTCTGAGTGCCTGTGTTCCAGTGGGCTCGGGCCCTGGTTTGCAGAGGTGCTGAGGTCTGTCAGAGATGCCAGGGAAAGGGAGCTGGTCCAGCAGCGAGCAGAGGTGTTTGACTTGCTCAGTTTTTCAGGCACCATCAGTCCATCATCTTACCCTAGGATTGCTTGGGCCACTTCCAGCAATCTTTAAAGCCATCAGCATTGTCTAGTAGCCCTTTCCAAAGCTGCAGGCTCTGAGATGCCCTATTCCCCTGAGACTGCCTTGCAAATGATGATTCGGGTAGTCATCCAGGGGTTGCCTGGAGATGCTCAATCAGGTTGAGGGTAGAGCGTGTTGGATATTTTGGCTGCCCAATCCAGATCTTTTTTTATCTGTTTTCCCAGCACGTAAACAGTATTCTTCCATCTCAGTGAAGGTGACATTTTAAAATGCTTATGATGCTTTTGGATGCTGTGATGACAAATGACCTAAGGAGGTGGGGAAAAAAAAAAAAAAGAGGTGACTAATTCTGCAATCTGTTTCCTGAGTGAAGAGGCCAAGTTGGGGACAACTGACTGAACACTTATCAGCTGCTTCTCTCCTTGTGTATGCCGAGAAGCCTATGGAGATGAGGAGGAAACCAATCTGTGATCTCCTGAAGCCCAGGTTGAGGAGGCCAAGTCAGGGCTCTATAGGTGACTGATGTGGTATTTCCAAGCATTTGAGAGCGTTACTGCAATGTAAATGAGTGCTTGTTTCCTGAGTGATTTTTGCACATAACTCAGAAACCTCAGTGGTGACACTTTACCCTAGAAGGGGAACCAAACTGAGCTGCTGCCTGGTTCAAGAGGGCTCCTGGTGCAATGGCCATGTGTGGGTACGGCTCAGGAGAAGGGGAAACAGAGGAAATGAGCTCTGGTTTGCTGCAGTCAGTTAGCAGAAGGATGCTGTGCATGGCTCCTGAGTGATTCCAGGGTACCTCCTGTGGCATAAAAAGGTGTGGGGAAGCTGTCATCCCTGCTCCTGAGTTTCAGCAGCTGCTGTGGCAACAGTAGCTTTTCCCCACAGCTCTCTACTGTTGCTTAGAGAGGTATGTGTTAAACTGCTGAGAATATGTCTGGTGCTCAAATGGGTCCTTGCAATTTAGCAAGAAGCACTCCCCTGAGCTGCAGATGAAGCAGGGCATTTGTTTGTGTGCCTGAATGTGAAATGTGCCATGAATCTGCGGCTTCAGCTGATCCCAGCTGACCCTAAGTGTTGGACAGGCTTAAAGTAAAAGCAAGTTTTAGCTGCGTAAGGTGAAGGATTAGAATGTTAGTTACAAAATGAGAAATTATTGCAGAAATGAAAAATAAAGCAACACAGAAGAGGCAACGGTTAACCCTCATAAGGCATGGCACAGTGGCTTCTCTGAAGCTTATTTAAGAATAAATCTCCTCAAGAACAAAGTCTTCTTGGAAAAGTGCTGCTTTGCAAGATCCCTGCAGATCCCTGTTAACCTTTTCTCTCAAGAAGCAAATTGAATTGCAGTTATAAAGCTGGCAGGACTCAGACTGAGGGCTTTTGGCTTAGCTCAGCAGTTCATCTCAGGGTTTACTGGCATTTACAAGGCACTACCTATGATGCATTCGCACATGTGATTGCTGGAGTGACCCTTGAACCTAATGTAGCAAATTTTTCCACCGTGGAATGAATCTCTGTAAAGTTTTCCTTCTTATATCTTGCCCAAAGTCCAGTTACTTGAACTTTGCCCAGTTGTTTCTTGCTGTTTGTCCCACAGTAAGTGGGATGCTTAGAGACAGAATGTGGGAATGCGTACTTTGGGGTGTAAGGGCAGGCCCGGATCACCATGCTGTGTTGGAATAGGATGGGTGTGTTGGCTAGTTTTTCATGCCCCAAAATATCTTAAGAGGGATCTTTGATCTATTTTCTTTTGTGAAGTTTGAGAAGCTGATGTGGATTTGAAAGGGAAAATTTGGATTTCTCCTTCTTTCAGCCAGGCAGATACGTGGCATCAGTGGCAGGTTTTGGAGCTGTTCTGCAGGGTCACCGTGACCTGCCAGAGGAGAGGAAATTCTAAGCAATACAAATATCCTGTTGTCAGTGCAGTTTCCTTATTCGTGGTTTGTTGTTTTTATTTGAGTGGCTATTGAAAATTCTACAAGAAAATTTCTGGCATGTGCTATATATATACCCATTAGTCAGGACAGGGGAGATGCAAGAAGAAATGTAAAGTGTCTTCAGCACTCCAGACTTCACACAGGTCTGGAGAGGGGTTTTTAGAAATGTCTTTGTAATATAACAAATTCCTTTTAAAAAAAATAGGCTGGAATATTTGGTCCTACTGCACCAAAGCTCCATTCCCCATTCTATTGGTAGTATGTCTGTGTAAAATAGCTAAAATCAGTGTACTCCTCCAGGCTTCCAGAGTACCTTGCTGGGGCAGCTCTGTACCTTGACATTGTACCAGTAGTACAGTGGGGTGTTTGCATTTTTCATCCATTTCAGTAGGAGTTCTCATTCTTTTTCTATATCAGGCTGATATAAAAGCTTGGTTGTTAGGTTCCACTCAGTCTCTAGTGAAACAGCTGTGGGGAAAAGATAGTACCAAGGATTTTTTGGGCCTCTCTCTTGTGGAATCTCTGTTGTGTCACTGTTCAGAAATATCGCCAGTTTGATGCCTGCTGACGAGACTGTACTACTGGGATAACAAGCAGTATTTAGCAACCACAGAAGACATATCAGAGGTGAAACTGAGCAGTGTTCTCTGCCATTGTGTAACAGTTTTTCTTCTCAGTTTTGGTAGTTTCTTAATTTAGTGGGTGTTCGTAGGTAGAAGTCTGCCTGTGTGCTGTATCTATTGTGCAACAGATGTCTTCCTCTGAGATATCCTCCATGATGCTTTGTCTTTTTTCCAGATTGTCCCCAGCCACCGCAGCCTGAGAATGGAGGCTATAAATGCCACCCTAGCCCCTGCAACAACCCCCTGACTTCAGGCAGTGTCATAGAGTATCTGTGCGTCGAAGGCTACATGCTGAAAGGAGATTATAAGTACTTGACCTGCAAGAATGGAGAGTGGAACCCAGCCATGGAAGTCAGCTGCAGGCTCAGCCCGGGTGAGTGCTCACGGACTCCAGTGGGACAGTCAGAGTGGCCCTTGCATTGACTTTTCAGGTTATTCTTAAACACTGAGTCAGTGTGGTGCTGGGGAAGTCCATACAGCTGTGTCTCATTGCTCCAGCAGTTTCATAAATGCAGCTCACAATCACAGCTTTTTATTAAAAATGCCTCTTCTGTAACAGACCATCTGCCACAGGCTCAGAGTCCCTCACGCAAGAAGACAACCCATGGAAAGGAGTATAAAGGATGCAACTTGTTACTCATGTGGAGCCTCTTATTTTGACAGCTCTCATCCCAGAAATGGGGGAAGCCCCAACTGAAGCATTTTCCATGCTGTCTGGTTTTGCTCCTGATGGGTTTGACAGTACATCTCCCCCAGTGGGGTACCTGTCTGTCCGCATGTGCGTGTGTGTCTGTGAGTATGTAGAGCTGATCTTCCTTGCAAACAGGTTAAGTAACTGTTGGCCACCTGTGACAAAGAGCTCAGTGGTGCTGCTTTTCACTGTACTGGCAGGAAGGGACACTGCTGACAAATGATTTCTTCTCTCCAAGTGCAAGTGGACAGCTTTTGTTTTGTGGGTCTCTCCCAGCTGAACAGGAATTCCTCCATCAAAGCAGGAAAGTAAAAAAGTTTGCAGGAAAATGTTTGTCATACAACTTAGTTTGCCTACAGCTCTTCTGGTTTTAAAGCATGCATACTGGATAAAGGGAAAACTCCCTCCCCTCTTTAAGTCTGGCTTGTTGATAGAGTTTTAATGCTCAGTCATCCTGAGTCAGCAAGATGTACACTCCAGAATTAAGTCTCATAATACATAAAGCAAAATGTGTTAGCTTAATTGAAAAAAAAAAAACAGAAAAGCACCTTCTTCAAGCTCTTTATGGAGCTCACTGCATACCTGTGATCTCTGGAACATCCTGTCCGGTCCCAAAGACACTGTCTTTTCAGTGTCCCCATCACAGCCACTCCAATAGCTTCTTCCTGTGATGTATAAGGAAGGGAACTGCGTGTTTACCTGGCAGCAACTGGATCCTGAAGAGGCTTTTCAAATTCAGCATAAGGTTCCTTTTCACAGTAGCTCCCCCCTTCCTCTTGCTGCACCCAGGGTGGAGAACAAAGCTGTGCTATTGCAGGTAGTGTGCCCTGGGCAGCATTCCTGCATGGTGGCACTTGGCCTACATCAGAGCCGAAGGGATTGTGCTCTGGCGAGCAGAAATCCCTCAGATTTCTTCATCATCCTGAAGGATCAGTGGCCTTGTCAAAAACATGGGGCCTCAAAAGTCTGACCCAGTGAAAAAGCCATTGCTTTCACAGCACAGGCTTTAAAACAACTGGTGAGGGTCGGAGACAGCTGAGGTTCGACTAGTGGATCTCTCACAGGACTAAAAGGAGGAAGAGGAGATGGGAGACGGTACAGAGAAAGTAGGTCTTAAAAAGTTAGATAATGGGTAAGATTCTACCTGTTCCATAGAGGGTAAATGAAATCCCTAGCACTTATCAGATGTTTTGTGTAGCTCTGAGCCTGTCAACCCCATAGACTTTTGACAGTTTATTGTATGAGTTATTGAGCATTTTGTTGGAATATGAGACAGTGAATGTGCTGGGGTGGTTCCCTGGGTAGCAAGCAGTTTTACAGCATCATGTACTGATGCTGAAAATGGAACAGCCCTGTTTGCCTACCCTCTTCCCTGTCAGCGTACTCAAAAGTGCCCTGAGTAGTGTTGAAAATGGAAATCCTTACTCAACCCTGTTTGACATAGGGAAAAATGTACCAGACATTGTTTTTCCCTGGGGAGAGGTCAAGCTACTTCTGAAAAAATTCAGGAAAACAAGTTCAAAACAACTAAACCAATAGGTTTGACCCCAGGAAAAGATGCAGAAAATGCAAACTGGCTTTCCAGCTTGCGTGCCTATTTTGGGCATAGATTTCAGGCTGTAGGCTTAAAAACAGTGATCCTCCAGCTTTTTTTCTTCTGTTTGCATGCTGCTTTTCCCCTCATCCTTACCTCCATGTGTGTCCTGCATCCCCCTGCAGTTTGAGACCTGTGCTCCCAAAGAATGTGTTGAATGTAACAAAAAGGAATTGAGGAATTTCATACACAGGAATGTCCCAGATGTGAAATACGCAGTAGTATTTGCCAATGAGGAAGTGTAAGGTTTTTTAGATCTCTACCAAAGACATAAATTAGGGACAGAGGCAACACACAACAGACAGTTATTTGCTCTAGGGAGGTGAAAGGACGAGTGTAGCATTCTAGGCATGATACACAATGCTCGGCAATACCAGCTCCGGGCCATTCTGTCTCCACTCCCAATTTATTGTAAGGTCTTACAAGGGACCTTTAAAAGCCACGCTGGTTGCTGTGCAGTCAAACGGCGCGGCTGAGGAAGGCATAATGTGAACAGGGCATGTGTATCTAACACTGAAAACTCAGCATCCTCTCTGTTCCCTGGCATATGTTTGTGTGAGAAAGAAACTGAATACTTGCTGCATTTTAAATATACCCAGCCAGGTGACTTCCACCCCTTCCTTTGGAGGGCTGGTCCATTAGCCAAGAAAACACATTATTTGGAACTTTTCCTATTGTTTAGCCTAGAATATCGTGCTTATCATGCTAGACAATTATTAGCCTTGCTGGTGACATCAGGACATTTTTTAGCTTTTGCTCAGCCAGATGTATATATATAACATAACCCTTACCACCATCTATCATCTCCCGTGTCCTGCTGGCACTGCTTTTCTGTTTGCCTTGTGTTTTCCAAAGGACACTTGTATGTGCATGTTTAATTTTAGGTTCCCTTTACAGCTGGTGGAGAGGTGTCAGCTTGAGCTCTGAACTATCCTCTATAAGAGAGAGCTGATAGGCCTTGACTGTATGGGAAACCTGGGCTCCCCATATGCACACCCAAGTGTAACTCCCGAGAGCAGGCAGTGTGGATGTTTTTCCTTCCCTGTGGCAGTGATTTAAGGGAGTGGATCGTTTTACCTTGTGTTCCTCTTGGTTTTGTAGAAAAGGACTCGCCTCCAACAATTGGAGTACCCACGCTATCCATCGTAGCCTCCACAGCAAGTTCTGTTGCCCTGATTCTGCTCCTGGTTGTGCTGTTTGTTTTGCTGCAGCCAAAACTGAAGTCGTTCCATCACAGCAGGTAAGTGTAGCTGGGGTTTGCAGAGGCTCAGAGGCATCCTGTTCCTTTGCAGCAGAAACCCATTAAGGAGCTTGGTTTATGCCTTCATTTTGGAGCAACATATCTCCTCGCTTCTTTGCTCCTGTTTTAATCACCTCAGTGACACCTCTGCCCTGTGGTCCAGCCGTAGTCTGAAACGGTGGTCTGCGATACCCAGCTGCAGTCTCCATTCTAACATGCCATCAGATGAGTGGTTTTCTTGCTCTTTTCTGTTGGCTTTGAATGTGAAAAGTTATGATCCCTACTATAGATCAACCTCCTGCCTCTTGTAGCCTTGGATAGCTGCTGAAGTATGTGTCTGGGTGTATATATGCATCTCCCCAGGTCTGTTTGTGCGATCCTATGGACATGAATTCAGGCAGTACTGCTGTTTAGATACACATGCAAATCTGCCATTGTTCCCTGCTGTGGGAGGAGAACCCTCCTGGCCTGGGTTTGTGGATGAGAGGAGGGACCCAGCCATAACACTGCTGCCAGCTGAGGTCAACAAAGTCTCTGTGGACTCTCTCTTCCAAACCAACTACTACTGCTCCTTAAGTAAGAGCAGAGACATGGCTGTCCAGCAGCGAGGAGGTTGAGAGATGGGGCCCTGGAATCTGCCCTTTTCTGAAGAAGTCCAAATCACTGGAGAAGGAAAATTCAATCTCGGGGCTCTGACTCACGAGCCTAGGTGATTCAAATCACACTGTGCCAATTTAAGAGCTGTCTTCCCTGCCCTGCCAGAGGTTAACTTGCTGGCAGCAAGGGTGACAGAACAGGCAGCACTGGGTGTTGCAGAATACAGCAGCGTAACAAGCTGAAATCAGCAGTGGTCAGAGCTCTTTATCCGCTGGCTGTGACAGCAGGAGGGCCCTGAGTCATGATCTTTGTCAGATTTAGCTATGGAGTCAGGTGAGGTGGGAAGCATTGTAACCTTTTCAGCTCTTGCTGCTAAATCCATCGGGCAGCGTGAATTACAGAGCCTGCTCACGTTTATGGCAGTTCACAGTAGGGCTGCGAGGCTGTGCTTGCTTGACCTTGTTAAACCACCATTCATGTTTCTGTCTGTTTTCCCCTAAATAAGTCAATGGTGAGCATTCAAGTTCTGCTGTGGGAGGTCACTGAAGTTCTTGGTAGCATATATATAGAAATGTAAATGCTCAACTTGATTTTTTTTTTTTTTTTTTTTTTTTAATTAATTCCCTCCCCCCTTCTCTCTCTTTGTTTCTTTTTTGAGGCGAGACCAAGGTGTGTCTGGAGATCAGGTCTCTATCATGGTGGATGGTGTCCAAGTGGCCTTGCCATCCTATGAAGAAGCGGTGTATGGCAGCACAGGGAACTGCATTCCACCCTCGGACTCCCGCGTGCAGATCGTGCTCTCAGAGGGAGCTGGGCAGAATGGAGCCAGAGAGATGCAGCAGCAGGACCAAGGGGCCCGCAATAGCTTTGAAAGAGAAGATGAAGCCCCTGGACATTCTGGACTGTGTGAAGCCAGTGGCTCTCAGCGCTCTGAAACTGTTCTTGTGCATCAGGCTGCTACCTCTTCCTGGGTAGCTGGCATGGCTAGCAGTAGACCTGTACACAAAGAGGTCCAAGATTCAGAAAGCAGTGACATACAGAGCCTTCTATCACTCACTTCCTCCGAGGAATACACAGATGGTATGTGACTTGGGCAAGGAGCACTGAACGAGACCTTTATAAGAGCAGGTTCTGCAGCTGACTACCTAGGATGAAAATAGCAAGGAATGCCCCTATGTATGTCAGGCACCAGAGGAGCTTTTGAAAAGAGGTGTCCCAGTCTCCATGTCATGTTTCATGACTTAGATGTGCAAGCACTATTTAATACCTTCTTCTGAAGTATGCAGCACACTCAGACTGGGAGCCTAGAGCAGTCTGGAAAAAGTGGTAGGTTCTGCTGCTCGTGCTTGCTGTCTTAGCAAAGGATTTGCAGCGAAATGTCAGCCTCCAGCATCATAGTGCAAGTGCAGTAAAATAGCTGCTTGGAAAACAAGTTGGTGGGAGTGGGAGGATATGCTTGGAATACAAACCCTTTGTGATGTTTGGGCTTCTTCATTTTTAGACTGTTGTAGTAAACGGCTTACTGCCACAGTGTATACAGTGCTGCAGCCTCGGCATGTGAGAAGACCCAGGAGGGATGTACTTCAGCTTACTGTGCAGGGCAGAGGGACAAGTCTGTTAAACAGTCAGTGCATCTTGTATTTTTCACTTCTGTTGTGCCCTGAAGGAGTGGCTTTACGACGCCAGAGCTGATGTGAAGCTGCGGCTTAAGGTTGCTTCTGCAGAAGCAAGAAGTGTAACTGGCTTGTAGATAGCTCAGGGCAGAGCTTCTCTTTTCCATGGTGTCAAGCCCTGCAGCTGTGGTAATGCCACCCAGAACCCTTGTGGTAAAAACAGCTAAAGGGGATCAGAAAGGGCAGCATGTCCTGAGATGGACATTAAACCTCAAGTGCGTAAACAGCAGAAATCCAGAAATGAAGTTTAACAAAAAATGTCCACAGTGTAGAAATTCAAGGATGCTGTCTCTGCATTGTCATTTCTATCACCACCTTAGAGGAAACATGTATTGCCTCTAAGGCTTCTTGTATGGTGGCAGATTGCTCCTTGCACCAGGAGACTGTAAAGCTTGTGCTTGTGACTCAAAGCTGAGGAAGCTGCAGCTACTGGAGGAGGTTGCATTTCTTCATGTTAGGTAAGGGCAAGTGTGATCCTTGTATTTGCAACCATCCCTGCCACAGTAAGAAACATGTCTTTGACATTTTGAGGAACTAAAAGATTGCTGAGGTCATGGGAAAGGAGGAAACTGTCATTCTTAAGGGGAGTTATTATCTTCCCCTAAACAGCATTGGTGAGGCTTTACTGAGGATTCTGTATCTTGTTGGGGGACCCTCAGTTCAAGAGAGATGTGGAGAAACTGGACAGGCTCTGTTGGAGGCCTGCCAGGATAGCCACGGGCTTGTGGGGGGCAACTGAGGGAGCCGGGCTTCTTTAATCTGCTGAAGAAGCAGCTGAAGGTCAAGAGAACAATTGACTACAGCTACTTTACAGGGAGTTGAAAAGTCTATGGAGCCAAACTCTTCTCAGCCAGATGATACAGCATGGGGCAATGGCTACAGGCTGTAACTTGACAGATTCACATTTGTCATTAGGGAAGTATTTTGTGGTAGGAGAGCAGTGCAGGACCAGATGAGCACTCAGAGGTGATGGAGTCTCTGTCCTTGGAGATTTTCAAGGCTGGAGCTGGCGATGGCCCCTCTCACAGGGGTGGGCTGGAGCAGAGTCCTCTAAAGGTCCCTTCTGCTGTGTTGTGATGACAGGAACACCACTGCATTATCATGTTATGGAAATGGGAGCCTGTCTTATTTTCAGCAGTAGTTTTTCTGGTGGTGTTGAACCGCAGAAGTTTCACTACTTTTTCTTTTTTTTTTTTTCTCTTCCCACCATTCAGATATTCCCTTACTGAAGGAAGCATGAGGCTTGCTGTGTTTGTCTAGCCCTCTCCCTCTTGGATTTCTTCCTCCTCCCCTCTCCCTGCCTTCAGGACAGAAAGCACTCTGTGCAGCCTTCCCCGTCCTTGCAAGCTGTGCCCTGGATACCTCCAAGCAGAGACGCCCTCAGCTGAAGATCCAAAGGATGTCGCCAGGTTGCCTCCTGGATGCACCAGTGGAGTTGGTGCAGCGCTGGCTTCCCCATTCCATCAGCATCGGGGGCTCAAGGAACAGAGTGGATTTGAGCTCTCCTCTCCTCCTCCCCAGCCAGATGTTTGACAGCAGTCTCTGAAGAGCTGCTCTTTTCTCGTGCCTTTCTCCTCCTCACACCGGCTTGTTGCAGTTTATCAGCCTCTCTAGCCCTTCTGCTGCCCAGAGAGCAGGGGCTAAAACCGCTTGCTCACTGGGTGCAGACACAGTTTATATATACCTATATATGTTACATAGGCTCTTCTTCCGGCACCCTCTTTGTGATAGGGCAGGACAAAATGCCTCCCTGGGACTGAAGCTGGGCTTGGGAGGGATCCCAGTTAAGGGGCAGCTTGCAATGTCTAGAAGCGCCTCGGATGAGCTGGGCTGTGTGACAACGTAGCTGTGCAATAACAGTTCATTGAGAATTTCTAGAGCGCTGAAGTCTGAGAAGTCCAGTGTGTAGGAACGCCCTCTGCCCCTTCTCAAAAACCATCTCTGCAGGAGTTCATACCTGAAAATCACTCTTGTCTCCTCCTTCCTTCTCTACCTGTGCAGCCCAATTGATTATACTGTGTTTCTAGGAACTGGGACTGGGACTGTGCTGCCAATAAAACAACCCTTTCAGCTTTGGTCTGGTGCCAGAGCATCTCCTGGCGTTAGGTTGTAGAAGAGCCTTAGAGAATGGCCAGTGGTTAGCGGAGTCCAGAAAGCTCGGAGGATGTGATTTTCAGTTAACCAACCCTGCGTTAATTATGAGTTAGCCCCATTCACTGAGGCATCAGGACTGGAACCAAATTTGTGGCCCTGCTCTTCTGAAGAAGTTGTGTGTCTCAGAGCTTTTCCAGTTGAGGTGGTTCTGTACTAAATCTTAGGTTCTTTTGGTCAGATTTCAGGCAGAGGAAATGCTTTTGAGATGTAATCTTGAAGTGGTTCAGGTGTTTGAAAATGTCAAGGGGAAAAACACCCGTGGGTAGCGAATGCCTAGTGCCATTGGTACAATCCCAAATTACCTTTCCAGCCACACTAGGTACAGCGGCCGTTGAATCCTGGGTGGCTGCCATCTCAGAGGCTAGTGTGTCTTCCTAGCTTCAGACAGCGAGAGTCTGCTGGTTTATCCTCATGGGCTTGGGTGGGCCCACAGAGAAGGGCTGCTTCCTTGTGGCTGCGGGTAAGCTGCATTTATAGTCTCCCCTAAATACAATGCAGTTGTCTGTTGCTGTGAGGGAAGGTTGGCTACATTGGCAGCAGTGTCAGAGGACACATAGCTTATTCCTGAACCTAGGTTTCGAAGATTGTTTCAAGTTCTGGTAGCAAGGAGAAGAAAATCAAAAAATACATGTACCTCTGCCCTCCCCCCCCTCCCCCAGTTATCTACAGCAGGTCGGAATATCCTGGTTGCTGTCTTTTTGCAGGAAGCCACATTTGTCTGAGGTAGGTGATCCAGTCACAAAAGCATTGTGGTGGTTATAGGGTTCTTCACTGGGGAGCTCCGGGCACTGTTCTGCAGGGCTGGTTTCAGCAAGAAAAGTTGGCTTCTTAGATGCATGTACCTTGCTTGCCATAACTGTCTTGAAGTAACCAGGGAAGTGTTTGCCCCGTGAGAAGCTGCTAAATCTTTATTTGAGTTGAAGGAGCAAAATGTCATGGCCTTACACATCATGTGGTAATGTACAGGTAAATAGGGATGCCGTCTTTGCTGCTTTGCTTTTGGTTTGTGATCCTCGCCATCCTCATCCTTGTTGCTCCAGGAACATACCGTCACAGCATGTGGTAGAAGTAATGCAACACCTTTATATATAAAATCAATGTGGCTTAGCTCCAGCTCCTGGAAATGGGGTTTGGCCATAGTATCCAGCCATGTACCCGCTGCTCCTGTTCCTGATGAGCTGTTAAATCCCAGGACACCTGGGACAGCGCGTGCCTGTGGATGGAGGAATCCTATTTTCCCTATCCTTGTTTTAGAGGGATGTTGTTAATTTAAAAATACAGTATTTTAAAATTCCTTCCCTATTGCTCATGTTACCTTGCATTTAACACCAGGCTTTGATAAATCCTGTCCTGGTTTGGATATTATTTTGTTCAGTTTGGTGAAAATCCCACATTGTTTTACAGCGGGCTGTGGTGTCTCAGCTTCAAGCACTGGAGAGGGCAAATGTTGTTTATCCATCTGCTATTGGAATTTTAGAAAATAAGCGTGGGGACGTTTGCATTTAATTTTTAGCTCCTACCTTGGAAATGGTCTAAGCTTGAGCAAATTGTCTCATTCACTGGTTTATCAGGGCAGATGGAGAGATTGAGTGAGTGTAGCGGTAAGGGAGTGTGGAGGGAAGAACGGGTGCGTTCTCTCCTGCTGCCTAACCAACTCTGAGCAGGGTGAGCGGCTCTTTATGCATTTAAGGTCCTGTCTACTCAAACTGACCCCTCATCAGTCGTGGTGTAGAAGTCAGGTACGTGCTGCTTTCCTGCAAGGGACAGTCCTTTAACTCAGTGTTAGGAGCAGCTTGGTGGGAGAATCTCTGAACAAAGCTGGAAGCTGATCCCAAGGCCTGGCCTTGCCCTGGATGAGCGCCTGCTCTGTAAGCACGTACCCTGCCTCCTCTCTCTGCCATTGTAAAGCAAGCAACTGCCAGTTTGGGAGAGAAAATTCAATTTGGGTGGGGAAGAGAAGGAAGCAGGCTGCACAGAAGAGGGAGTGCTTTAATTTTGCTTAATTTATAGAAATTGTGGGAAATGTCTTTACTAAGGAGTGAGGGAAATGCGGAGGTGGAGGGAAATATGCAAGCATAGATCTCGTGATCAGGCATAAACAGGCAGCTTCTGTTGGCTTGCTGAGGGTAAAGCAGCAGCTCCCAGGCCAGTCTCTGCTGTGCTGGCTGGTAGCCCCAGCTGATGCCCCCAGCGCTTGCAGAAGAGCCCCAGGGACCTGTGCAAGCCAGAACATGGGAGACCGTCTGGGGGCATCACATTCCTCTTGCCCACGGCCTCAGCTCTAGAGTTTATTTTCATATAAAATGAGGTAGAATGTCTGGGGAGGAGCCTGAGCGATGGCTGCCTGACAGTTTTTCAAGGGGGAGGGGGGGAGCAAGGCCTCACTTATTATCAAGTGATTGTTACTCATTTGTGTTTGTTTTAATTTGGCGGAGGCTGAAGGATTGGGAAAACTTTTAAGCAGAGATTTAGGAAAACCTAAATTGCACAGTCCTGTCTTTACTTACGGGAGCAAGGACTGAGGCTTAAAGATCCCTCAGTCGTGACGTCTGCTGTGTCTCAGGAGCGTTCATTACCTCTGAGCACAGAGTGTGACCTCTTTGGCTGTTGCCATAGGTAGATGCAGCCTGGATCTCAGCGTGGTGGATGGGGAGCAGGGAGGCTCAGCCTTGCAAGCTGTAACACAGTAAATGATTTTTTTTTCTTTTTTTTTTTCTTTTTCTTTTTTCTGATGGGATCACAGCCTCCTTACCTTTTTTTCCCCACTTGTCTGGCAAAAGAATTCAAAGGGAAGCATTTTTCCCTCATTTAACACTCCCAATATAATCATCTAATGCTCTATCATACGTGCTGGCTCCTGTGATATTCAAGAACATTAAAATGATTTAATTACATTGGAAAAATAAAAATCACACTTATTTTAAAGGTTTCTGTTATTTTTGGAGTCTGACGGGTTAAAAAAAGGGCATTTCAGAAATTCAGAATATTATGTGCAATAGAAAAGCCTCCCTGCTCCCTCTCAGTTGCATAGTTTTTAAAAAAAAAAATAAAAATAAAATGCAACCTACTGCAGTGTTTCCAGCCCAAGTGTTGCAGAACTGAACCAGCCTGAGAGAACCAGAAAGTGAAGCTGACAGTGTCCCGTGGGGAAGCGGGGCAGTCTCCGGGCAGGCTCTGCATCACGAAGCTCAGCTGGAAGGGTGAGCCAGCTTGGGTGGCGTCAGAGCCTCCTGCCGCCTTGAAGGGGGGTCGGCAGCATTGGTGAGAGGTGGTTTTGTGTGTTCTGGCTTTAAATAGCTTGCATCTCTCCGTCATTAGCTGCAGAAGAGGCAAAAAATGAAGTCAGGAGGAAAGACGTGCTGCAGCGCGTGAGCCTGTGGAGTCGTTGCTGAGGTCAGACTTCACGGGTTTGGGAGGGAGAGGAGCTTAATGCATTTTTATCCTTTTTTTAACCACCAGAGAACTTGCCGTGCGGAGGATGCTTACTCAGCAGGCATGCTGCTTGTTCACCCCTTGGACATCTCCCCTGAGGTTTCTCCTTCAGCTCCGTTGTGGTGAATTGTTTAATGCGTCTGGAGGGTTTATTTGGCCTTTTCAGCGTGTGGACAAGTCAGGTGTGTGAGGAGGAAACCTGTTCCACGTGTGCTGGGAGGAAGCATCCGAAGGTCCTCCCAGAGGTAGATGACTTGGGTCAATACTGAGGAGCTGGGGCTAAGAGAGCAACAGGCTCAGCCATTGGGAATAATCTGGGATGGTTAAGTCATTTGCAGCACAGAAAGGGGAGCACAGGGAGTGGGGTAGGGAAGAGCTGTGGCTGGAAACAGAGGTATGCTGCAGGCTAATGAGCTAATGCATTCATGACTGAGTTGTAAGGAAGCTTGTGCTTTGTTTAGAAGATTTAGCAGACACCAGCAGGCTTGCTGTATAAAAAAATACTAACATACAACTGGTTGGAGATTTCCTTGCTGACCTTTTTAGAATATGTTTGCAAAACTTGGTTTTACTGTTCTGATAGCAGTTGTTTAAAAAAAAAAAAAAAAATCTGCCTTATTACTCTATCCAGATAACTAATTAAATCAATTTCACTTTCTGGTTTCTGTATATAAATGCAATAAATCCCATCCATTTTGCACATCCTGCCTCACCCCATCTTCACCCTTCAGTCCTCACCAGGGAACTTGTAGATTGAACTTGCTCTTTGTGAAAACCTTTGTTTGCAGAAGAACTTAGAAAACATTTATTCTCTATGATAGGCGTTGAAAGTGCGGAGAGGTTTCCTAGAGCAGGCTTCATTTTAAGGCATATTTTTATACAGGAAATAAGCCTTTTTTCAGTCCTTCATCCCCACCTCCTGCCCTTCCACACCAGGACAGAGCATGGCACTTCTCTTCAGGGCCCTGTGTTCAGCACTGCTTCCAAACTCGTCCCTCTGCAGACGACGTACGGGTGTATGTACCCACCAGAACGGTTCTGCCGATGCTCTGCAAATGCTTTCTGTAGCTGTGCTTTCGTTTCTGTCCTCGAGTGAGCAAGGACAGAGGCAACTGAGTTGTGCTGGAAAGTGTTTTGGTTCCCATTCTCAAATTTGCTTCCTTCCAAAAAAAAAAAAAAAACCACAAAGTGAAGCTGTCTGTGAAGCAGGTGTCCTATGATGCGGTGGGTAGACTGCTGGTAGTTGCTGATGCAAATGCAAGGGGAGCTTGACTGCCTTTGTGCATTAATCTTTTCTTCTTTCCTTTATGTGTTTTCTTTTTCTTTGAATTGCACCACTATGGAATTATTTGCAGAATGGTACTCCATATATATGTGGGATTTAAAAGCAAAACCATAATTGATGCTGTGCAGGATGTCACTCAATCGGTTTTATTTTGCTTTATTTTATATATATTTTCTGGTATCCTGTACATTGCAGTGGGTGTGAAGATAGTATTTTAATATTTGTACAAAGTTTAATTTAATTGTTCTATGTATATAACTGCATTTCTAAATTAAAAAAAAAAATTTCTTTTGAAGTGAAGCTATGATGTCTTGTGTATTTTTTTTTTTTTAACTGCTTGGGCCTTGTGGACTGGAAATCTTAGGAGTTCATTAGTGAATACGTTGCAGTAGTGCGGTGCCTTCCATGTGAAGATCAGGATGAAGCTAAAGCTAGGGATGTTCAGGTGGCTTGGGGAAGGAGGAGTGGAGTTGGTGCGGCCTCGGAAGGATCATCCGTTTCTGAAAATACCCTCTGCTCTCCAGAGGAAAGGCCCCCCTCGGGGTGCCGGTGCGTGAGGGAGGGAGAAGTTGGGTCAGGTTGGCTCGCGGGTGTTCTGGGAGGGCTGTGATCACCTGAGCCACCCGGACCCGTTGCCTTGGCTGATGTTCATGGCAGTTGTTTTCAGGAGACGCTCCTCAGCCTGCCCGAGGAGTCTCCTGATCTAGTGTGCAGACCTGCTGCGCGAGGCTGGGCAAGGTATTTGTTTGCCTTTATTTTCTATAGCACGGAGTGCCTGCGTAGCAATTTTACTGATGCGGTGCGGAAAAGACCGCCACAAGTGCTCTGACCCTTCTGCTCCCCCAAGGAAAACAGTCTGTGCAGTCTGAGTTACTTGGGAGCAAGCAGCAACGATCCGTCAGCGATGGAGGGAGAGGAAGGATGTGAGCTGGGGGAGGACACGGCAGCTACTTGGCTCTCCCCCCGCAGCGGTAGGAAATGTGTGCCTGCTGGCTCTGCGCAGGGGGAAAGGCAACAGCAGTGAAGCAAGAGGGGCTGAATGTGTCCAGAGACACGGGCTGGATGAAAACCACGGCGGGGGGGTTTCAGAGGGAGTGAGGTTGGGTCTGGGTTTGATACAAGGAGAAAAAAGGCATTTTGGGGAGTGTTTGGAGCAATGGCTGTGTGGTTTTCTTGCAGTCCCTGTCTTGTGGGGCTTGGAACCTGCATTGGTGACTACGGCAGCAAGAGCTGACAGCCCCTGTGGTGTCCCCATCCACCCGTGGGAACAGTCAGTCAGGGGAGACTGGCCGAGTTGTTAACCATGGGGAAGGGGTGGGGGAGAAAGGTTTAAAGAGATGGTGTCTGGCATGGGAGGAATTCAGAGAGGAAGAGAGGGTGAACATAATAAAGGGCTAATTAATCTTGGGGACTAGTTAAGGAGAAAAGTATACGTAGAAAAAAGATGTTATTTTTAGAGAGAAGATAGCTCTTATTGGCAAAACACTAATCCAAAGTGGGCAGCGGGGCAGCGCAGGAGGTGTGGGAGAGATCTTTCAAGTGCGTGGTGCAGGCAGCGCAGGCACGAGTGCGGAGGCGAGGCTGGGTGCAGGCTCTGCTCTCCCCTCCTCCGGGTAGTCACACTGCACCGGGAGGATGGCAGGAGCAGAAACTGCAGAAGAATGGACACCCGTTGTTCTGTCAGTGCTACATACAGTCCGTTATTATTATTTTCTTTGCTTCAAAGACCTAAGGTAACGTTGCCCTTTGAGGCAGGTGTACTAATGAGCATTCCTTTCTTTTAAGGAAATCTATTGGTAGTGTAACAGGAAAGGGAAAGGGAAAGAGAGAGGAGACCCTGTTGGCCAACTTGTTCAAAGCAAAGTCCTTAACGAAGTTATGCGATTTTTGTATACTCACATATATGATTTCTGTCCTCTGTGGAGGAACGGGCAGGCTAAAGAGAAAGGAAGGGGTGACATCTACGTTCCTCCCATTTCCATTTATTCCTTAAGTTATTCCCACACAGTAAGCTGATCTTTTTGTAGTATTGCCACTGTGAAACTGGAGCTCTGTGGCCTGTGCCTGCCCTCCTGATGCAGACAGTTGGCACATGGGAGTCGGTGGCCTCCAGGAATTGCTTTTAAATTATTACTGCTTTTCTCTGGGCTGTGGTCTCACTGCCACATCAGTTCTGTCAGCCAGGAATGTGCCCTGCTTGTTGTTCAGCAGCTCTTATCTATTAGACACATTGGAAATAATTTGTCACCTCTGGTTTGTGCCTGCAATGAGAAATGACTGTGGGAGCCAAGCCCGAGGTGGGTGGTCTGGGAAATCCTCCTAAACCCTTGGCCCTTCGGCTGACGGGTGGAAAGGCCGGGGCCCGCAGGAACACCTCGGCTTCCAGAAAAGCAGCCTGGCCACAAAGACATCGACCCTGCCACAAAGCTGCTTTGAGAAACTTGCTCAGAAAAAGGGATAAACGGGCTCCTGCCCTCGCCAGGCGTCCTGCCAGCCAGCGCACTGTACCGCCCGGCTCCCAGACAGGATGTTCTGTACGTGTGGATTTTCCAGGAACACAAAGCCGTGGACACACCAGCCCCATTACAACCACATGCTTTAACTCTTTAACAGGACCGAGCGCATCTGGAGCCTTTCCTCGTCACCTCTGGCTGCTGCATGCCACAACGCCACTGTCGGAAAGCTTTGTGGTGGGATTGCATTACCAAATAGCTCCTTGACGTGCTGTAGCTTTGCCCCTGCCAGAAGCCTCCCCTGCATTAACAGCTCCCCCAGCCTCTGACCTCTGTTTAAGGGTGTCATGAAATGCAGATTCCCCCTCCTGAAAATAAGAATACTGGCAAGTTACGTGCCAACAAGCCCTGTGCTTTGCAAAGCGAGCATTTTCACACTCCTCCTCACCTGCCAGGGCCATGCAGAGGGCCCCTTACCAGTGTGTCACTGGAGAAGAGAGCTGGGACACGCTGCCAGCCCCCATCCCGCATTGGCTGCGGTACTTGGCAAAACTGCTGTGGTTTCTCTCGGCACTAAGCTGGCATCCTGGCGTGCAGGGGAAGGGATGGACAAACACACATGATGGACTTCCCAATTCTCTCTGTTCCCTTTTTCAGGAGGATGATGTTTACCAGCAAACTCCTTGCTGTAACCTTCAGTGAGACCTGGGCTGTGGCACAGCAGAGCTAAGGAGCCCTCAGGGTACCTTGGCATAAGGTGGCTGTCCTTTGGCAGCTCTCTGTCCTCTGGCCTGTGCAGAGCTCATGCTGCGTCTGGGGGACACAGCTCAGGCTTTTCATGCTACATCCATGAAAACAAAAAAAAAAAAAAAAAACCACAACAGATTTGGGGACAAGAGAGCACAGTCTGGTGCTAATACACTGGCATCGAGGGCACAAACACCCTTGTCTGCTTTTCTAGGCATGCCGCTCAGATCTCCTTGTAGCTATTTTGGGGGACGGTGTTTGAGATCACTCTGTGTTAGCAGCTCTGCCTGGCAAGCAGGGTTTGTCCTCCAGGCCTGTGGATCCCACGTGAGGCTGGGGGACGCACTTCACGGGGCTGACACGCTCTCCTTGTCCCGGACACATGCCAAACCGCAACACGCAGCATCTGTGGGGCGGTCGGGCACTGCCAGGCACAGGGCTGATGCCCTCGAAGGAGGAGGGCGAGCCATAGCGGGCTGCAGCGTGCCCTGGATACCGGAGAGCACGGAGGAGGCCTTGGCAGTGGCTGGGGGTGGGAGAAGGATGGGCTGGAGAGCTGGCAGGGGGGGTACACGTCCCTCCTTCCAGGACAGTGGCAGCTGGGGATGCTGGGGCTGGGCAGAGCTGCTAGCTGCAGCTGGCCCACAGCTGGATTTGCTTCCATACTGGCTGTGCCCATCGGGTACGTCCTCCCTTAAGAAGGGCTGACGTGCTATCTGTATTTAGAAAGCATACATTGTTCATATTTAAACCTAGGTTATAGTCTCCTCGTGTTGTGGAGAGCGGGGGCCAGGTTCGGGACTAGCAAATCCTTCTTGGACAAGCCCGATGGGAGCCAGAAGCGGCAGCCTGGCACCCAAGGGGCAACAGCGCTGGGTTTCCCACCTCGTGCTCCCATCCCTGGGTGCTGCAGGGCAGAGTGGGGCTCCCCACGGGTGGGACAGGGCGGCAGTCTTGCTCAGATGACTTTCCTCCATCTCTGTGAGCAGTCTGCACAGGATGGCAGAAATGCCCCTGTAACGGCTGTTTTTGAGATTGATGATCCTGGGTTCATCTCTGCAGACAAAGTTGTTACCATCCTACAGTCTATGTCTCCCCTCATAAACGTAACCTGGCTCCAAATAATTGCTTCCTCTGGGGGGAAGCTTTAAAATAGTTGATTTGTTACTGAAACTGTTCAGTATTT